CATCTCTTCTGGTGACCACTTTGAACGTCGTGATTGTTTTTGTGTGTTTTTACACCTTCTAGGCTACTTGTATTGGAACTGATTGTTTCTTTGACTTGAACTTTGACCCTTTGTGTGCGAGGTTTCTTTCTTATCGATTGATAAATTTTGTCTATTTCGATGTATCTATTGATTGACGATTCAGTGTGAACCACTTCAAGTTGAAGTATGCGCTGAAGACGTCACCCAGTATGGTGAGGAAAACTTCGCAAATTAACTAGCCAGCTCAGAGAACACAACCACATCAAAATCAGTGGAACATTTGAAATGAAGACAGGAGTAAGACAAGGCTACCTGCCTACAATCACCCATGATACTCCTGATGGTAGTGGACTGGATTATGCAGTAGAGAGTGTATTGTGAGAAGACAGGAATAGATTGATTGGACTAACTGATAAGAAGACTCTAGAAGATCCAGGCTTCGTGAATAATATATATTTTTAATGTCACACGATATCGAAGATCTACAGACATAAATCAATGAGTTGACATAAGAGGCAGGCAAGGAAAATATCCTTTGGTTTCGAACTTCTTAGCTTCTTTAATTTCAGCAGTTATCCTCCTGTTTTAGCATTTCTTAGGGTGAACATGCTCTTTCATTTCATCCACGATGCTATCGGCAACGGGGAGCTGATAAGGAAACCCAGGCCGACCGGCAGCTTAACCGGACTTCTACTGATATGACTGTGGCGACGGTATCAGTAGGAGATAACTTGGGTCGTCACACCGTTCCTAGCGTAGCTCCGTTGATAGTAGCAGCGGGCACCAACCAAATTAGTCAAACCTCACAACCTACTGATACATTGACGACGGTATCAGTGGGGGCTGGATTCAGTCGTCATCAATCCAACCCCATGAACCAAATAAGGAAAATATTAGTATACTGAAAGCTGGATAATGGTCTCGAGCGCGTTTTACGACGTTTCTAATTCCCTAATTGCACTTCATCGACTTCGGAAAGGCCTTCGACAGACAGTGTTGACTCAGAAGTAATCTGGGCACTGCTTCGACACTACGCCCTGCAGTGCCTAAATCTTTATCAACCTCATTCAACACCTGGCTATATAACGGTGCCATGCGTCAGCTGATCCACAACGGGAAACTTAGTGTGGCGTTCGAAGTGAACAGAGGAGCAAGACAAGGCCGGATGTCTTTTATCACCGATGATATTCCTAATTGTGGTGGACTGACTGGATTAGGCGTCAGACTATGCGTTGCGAGTGAGGAGTCAGGAATACACTGGATCACCGATAAGAAGACTCTACAGGATATGGATTTCGCTTGTGGATGATTTACGTTTAATGCCACACAAACTCGAAGAATTGCAGGCTGGTGAAAACCAACAAACTGACTGAAGAAGCAGTGGAGACAGGACTCCAAGTGAACATAGAGAAGACAGGGGTGGTGAAGAAGCACCAATCACCAACAACGGGAGAGATTTAACAGAGGTTACTTCCTTCACTTATCTAGTAAGCATCGTTTCAACTACAGGCAGTCGGAACGGATGATCATATCAAAGCTAGACAGGATCAGAAAGTCAAGATACGCCTTCACCAATCTGAAACCAATTTGGAAATCTTCTGCGCTCAGCATAAGGAACAAGATTCTGATATTCAACACCACTGTCAAGTCACTCCTTCTATATAGTTAAATGTCAAGTAGCAAAACAATTAATGTCATATACAGAATAATTAATTCATAGGATGGATAGAACTTGGAAAGGGTGTGCAATTATACGATTAGTAGACAAATTGAAAACTGTGCTAATAATGCATCAACTGATACACTGCTATGTACTTTTATGACTGACGGGACGATAGAACCGATATTCTAAATATGGGAATGACTAAATGACTGCAAAGACAATTTGCTGGTAGGTAATTCGATCAGTTTCAAATGGAAGTCTTCATTCTGCTGCAACAGTAAACATGTAACATATAGAACTGACAAGATTTATCCGTAGTATCTAAGGATATATCAAACAGCGGATGTCAAAGAGAGGAAATGAACCAGTATTGTGGAAAAAAAAACATGGGAGACAAGAAGAGAAGACAAAGAAACACAATACGAAGGAACGGCAGAAGTAGTGTGGTGAGTGCTACTTATAATCCGATATAAGTAGTATACCAGAAACGAATTCAGAAAAGTAACAATATGCTTTGCATACTGGAAAGAGCAATCAAAGAAGAAGAATGTTGCCATATGATGCAGAGTCCAAGAAGCTATCGAATGTGACGATATTCGACCAATTCGTCAAGGATGTGGTAAATGATGTGCAAATGGCAGTTTGAAAATATGGTATACCAAATTTACCCATGTACAATACGTTTCACCAAATAGACATTCCTTTCAGCCTCCTCGGTCTTTTCTTCTTTACAGTAGCACATGACGATTTTAACATAAGAAATAATTTTCTTATATGTATGCATATATCGAATTCAAAATCAGCATTCCGTTACACAGTCTCCTTTACCGTTATATTTGGTGTCACCACCTTCAGACAAGGAAGATCCCACGGCCAGCTGTTTTAGAAGAAAGAGACACACGGGGATTCTTGTGGGACTTCGATGCCGTCACTAACTTGGTGGGTGTCATGGACCCGACAGCGTGGAGAGGTCAGGTTCGAAGGAGACCTACAAGGTGTTGTTTGAACGATCGACAATGCAGAGGTTCCATGACGTAAACCTGGGATTATTGAATCAGTAATCTCAGTATAGGAATGATCAGATGATTGCGAAGATAATTCACTAGTAAGCAATCCGACCAGTTTCACTTGGAAGTCTTCATCCCACTTCTGTTGGAACTTGCTCGAAACCGAGAGACATGAATAAAACACTCCATTGACAATTAATATGACCAGATACAGTCCTGAGCTATACTGGAATTTGGATTAGTTAGTCGCCAAAATATTATTATAGCTTAGGAAAATTGAACAACGCCATCAAAATAGGCTATGATTCCGCCGTGTTGACCTGAGGGTGAATTTTTCAATTCCTCATCACCAGGAGTAGAATGAAATACAAAGGAGCTGGATTGCTCTCAATTTTTTCATACCACTCCGTTACAGCAGTTGCTTACACACGAAATTACTTAGAACTCCGTTACCAGATTGCAGGATATAAGCCACATTTGTTCTACCTGAGGGTTGAAATAGAGGGAGTGACATTTGAACCTGCAACCGATTGGTTGGAAGCTGAATGCTTAAGTCGTCGACGTAAATATTCATTACAGGATTAAATTTATTTGATAAAATCACAGCGTGATACAGTCATATTAAATGATGGCGTTTCAGCAACAATTTAATGCTGCGCATAATCATATCAAGGCACTATTCATATAACTTTCCCACTTCATTTATATAATTCAATTATTTCTTATCCTTTGATTTGATAATTGGCAGTAACATTTTCCCCATCTCCGGTAGTACTGGTGTTGAGTTATTCCTATTGCATGTGTTAGGTGTAGATTTTCGCCGAACAAAGATTCACTAATCAACTTTTCCCTATCTATCTGTCTATATTATTTCTTAGAACTGTGGCTGCATTCCACCTTATTGTGTGTTAATAAATGCATTACACTTTCTGGGTTTTTCTCTAGACTTTCCATCCTCATGGAGCCAATCATTCGACACTTAGCTATATTATTACGTTCAGATAATCTCACTACTCCTGATCTACTGGTTTGAGCTATGAAGTTGACCTCACAGTCATTGCAAGGTATTTTGTAAATTCTATTATTTTGTCTAATTGGGTCAGTAGGGTCTTTTGACCTACAGAGCTTATCCTTGAGTGAGCTTGTACGTTTGAATACCGCCCGAATTCATGTTCTATTAGGAATCCTACGTAGGATCTCAGCTGTCCCCTCCTTATATTAGTAGAACTGTAGATGCCTTATATTCTTTCTTATTTATGTTATCATTATTAGTTTCATCATAATTTATATTTTTCTGTTGACCTTTTTTGATCTTCCCATCCTATGAAATAGGACAGTTATTTAACACCTACGCCTCTTCTCTCTGTTTCATTTTATCGTTTAGGTTTGGTGATGTACTACTTGGTGTTATCGCTCGATTTGTTAGACACCTAAATATAAGACTGTCTTTACTCTATGAATATGGAATATTAAACTATTTCGCACTGCAAAAGTTTCTTTTCTAATATCAATGAATTAAATCTCTATTAGCACCAATGAAATCTGTAACAGTTAGTTTAAACCAGTCAGCCAAGTAAGGAGGTATACACATTACAGGGCTACTTGGGTTCCTCGGGATGGTAAGAACCAATGAAGGCTGGTGATGTAGCTCAAAATCGTCCTCAACGGCTGGTGCAGATGAATTCACTTTGTTGTGATTTGTCATATACAATAAAACCCTATTGTTCTCCTATATTACTATTTATTCTTTTTTCCCTCACTCAAACTTCCGTTTATTATGTGTCGTTTGACTCTTCTTTTGCTGCCTTCTCTTGCTTTGTTTGGTATATGGAGGGAGTGTGGCAACTGGAACTGGACATCTGTGCGAAGTTGTTCTATGTTGAACGCAGTCAATCATTCATTTGCAATACAAGATCCCAATGGTCTGAAATCTCCGCCCAATTATACAGGTCATAAAGATGACATATCCTCCTAATCAGAATGAGGTGGTTGGTGTGAACTGTGTCAAAAACCAGGGAATACTACACAGTCAGCTGTTTTTTTAGTCCTCGTCTAGGGCTCTTCAACAGTACACACACATCCACCCAGAACCTTCCTTCAAGTGCCTTGTAACCGAAAGTTCCTTGGTCCAAACACCCGAATGGTAGGTGTTTCACTACTGAAGAGTACTAGACAAGGACGAAACAGCTGGCTGTCTAGTACTTCCCTACTGGTTTTCATCAATGGTTCTCTCTCTCTACCAACTGATATCAATCCGTGAGCAAGTTTGAAATAAATCAAATCCCTATAAACGAACTCTTAAAAATCAATTAATCATTGTCAACAAAAGCGAACAAAACAAATCGATAGAACAAGGTTGTTTGTAATGCGAAAACAATTCGTCTTTGTTTAGTTATTTATTTATGTATGTATTCATTTATTTCTCTCCTCTTCGTTTCATTTTCTTTATTTTCACTTAAGAAAACTAACAAAGATCATTATTGTTAGCTGATAGGCAGCAAGTAGTCGAGACAAGGAGAGACCACACACGCACGCACACACACACACACACACACGCAGACAAATTACCACCAATGTAAGAATGAAGAGATCAGGAGAAAAATGCATCAACAAGGTCATATTACATGCGTGTGTGTATGTGTGTGTGTGTGTGTAGGTATACGTAGGAGGTCGAAAAAACAATATGATTAAGGTAAATGTAATAAGCTGTTACGATTACATCATCGTCATTGGCATGATCAGCCTGTATTGGTTTCACATAACACGCACCACCACCACCACCACCACCAGTAGCAGCCGCCCACCCCATTGTGGTGGTAATCACTCGCCAACTGGCCTACCAAACACATCATGTCTGATGCATAGATACAAGTGCCACCCATCATCACGATTCGATACACCGTGGAGAGGAAACAAAATATTCTTCCGTTTGATGTTTGATATATTTCTGAAAATAAAGATAAAAAATTGTCATTATTAATAACAATAATAATAGTGGATTTGAGGGAAAAAGAGGAGTTAGTAATATGGAAGAACAATAGGGTTTTATTGGGTATGACAAATCATAAAGAGTGAATGCGTCTGCGGCAGTCATTGAGAAAGATTTTGAGCTATATCATCAACCGTCTCCAGCCATTGGTTTTTACCATCCCGAGGACCCGACCAGTTTGGCAGTCTACACCTTCCTATGTGTCTGGTTGGCTTAAACTAACTGTTATGGATTTCATGAACTGATCCATCCTATGTTAGCTAACATTGCCTGTCGAGAAAGGCGATACAGATCCAGTTTAACATACTTGCAAATGTTACATGATGTCGGTTTATGACAGGAGACTCTAAACTTAACGACGAACAAGTGCCAAGAAATTACACTAATATAATTTATAATCAGAAAGTTTAAGCTTAAACAAATATCAATATATGCATACAATATGTAAAGGAGTTAAGTAACAAAGACAAGAGGTGAGTAAGACAATGAGTAACTAATAAATTGCGAAGCAATGCAATGAGTTAACCTCAAGTCACAGAAACAAGCTGCTGCATAATGTGAAAGTAGGGAAACGTTAATGCCAGAGATTGCGTAATCAAATGTAGGAGATTGCATTCCTCTTCAGTTACCAGGGGGATAAGGAAAGACTGATAACTGCTTGTTTCGGAATACATAAACAGGGTTTCAGGTGTTTGATAGTAACAGCTTCGACAAACCTGAGTGGAATTAAACCATTTTGTCTACTGATAATTTTAAAGGATTTCAAAATGTCCACCTCATAACCCGTATTGATGAGATGCCTGGAAACGGCACTATTGTAAGCATTTGTTCCCTTGAGACGTAGGCTATTCGCTAGATGTTCAGAAAATCGAAGGTGCTGTCGATGAAACAACTTCTTCTTGTCAATATATCGATGACACATTTGCAGTGTGCAACAATGAAAGTTATGCTTCCTACCTATTCGAATCATTCAATGACACACAAACAGATATTGAATTTAATATGGAACATGAAAATGATAGAAAGTCCCATTTCCTTGACATTGCCATGCAACGCCTGGGAGATGGTTGTATTCAGATGTCAATTTACAGAAAGCCGACATTCTATAGACAATAATTACATTTCAGTAGTTTTTCTTCAAATTGCTATAAACGAGTACTAGTCAAAACTCTGTTATATAGAGTCAAGAGAATATACTCTATAGATAAATTAGAGGAAAAGTTTTCTGATTCTCGAGAAGTTGTTGGAAAACCACCGGTATCCTCAATGGTTTATTAACAAATACAGAAGATATGAAGGCTTACATGTCAGACAAACCACAGTGGGAAGAGAAAGCTATCTATCTCCATTCAACTCATTTTCAAAGGAGAAAATATTTCAGCGTCGGTGGCATAGCGGTTGGGACGCCCGCCGACCATGCACCTGGTCCGGGGTTCGATCCCCGGCCACCAACGCACTCCCTTACCTTGCTAAGCCAGAAATAATGCTGGTGAAGAAGAAAGGTTGGGCATGAGGCTAGCAACCCCATCCTGTAAAAAAAAACACTGCTACAGAAACTTCAAACCACTAGCTTGAAGCCCTATGTTCCACTGGGGAACGTGAAGGAAAAAAAAAAGTTAAAAGAAGATTGAATGAATACCTCACTAGCTAGAAACTATTCTGCACCTAAGTTGGTTACCGTTTACCGAACAACATGCTCGTTGATGCAATCAAAATTCGGTAGATACACACCCTTCTCATATTAATTAACTTCAAATATGAATACAAATTAACATGTATATATGACAGCCGTTATATTGGGAGAACTGAAAGAAGGGAAAAACGTGCACCAAAAAAAACGCACATCTCAAAGGAACAAATCTTTGCAATAATGCCATTGTCAGACATCTTTTCGATAAGGGTCATGAGGTAGAACATCGCGAAACCCCTTAAAATCATCAAAAGACGAAATAGTCCAATTCTCCTTACGTTTGCCAATGCCATCGCTTTTAGACGCCTTCGTTCCGAAGTAGGCAGTTATCTGTCTTTCCCTACCCTGGTAACTGAATGTCTTTACTCTCTCTATTTTATTGCGTAATCTTCAGCTTTAACCTCCCCGCCCCCTCACTTTGATATAGTGTAACTTTGCTTGTCTCTTCTTTCTATGATTTGGGTTGAAATCAATACAGTGTTACTCAACTTATTAGCTACTCATCATCTTATTCACCAAGTGGAACACAGAGCTTCACGCTAGAGCGGTAGCAGTGATGTTTATTTTTATGGGACGAGGTTCCTAGCCTCACTCCCACCCCCGGCTAGAAGAGATAAAGGTGTCAGCCGGTCGGGAATCGAAACCTGGACCATGAACATAGTTGGTGAGCATTTTACCGCTTAACCACAGACACACACACACTGACATTATGCTAATGATATGAGTACTGACCAAAGTATAAAGACAGCACGATCAAAATATAACCGACTACTTTCTGCCTTCATGCTATACTGAAGATCTAGTGGGGTTGGCGATAAGGGGGACAAGAAAGAATGAATTCTGGCACGTAATGAACCAGAGAACAAACTTTTGCACAGCAAATAAGCAGAAGTAATTTACAATGGAATGAACATATACGCCAAGAAGACCTTCAGGTGACACATTACGCTTTGAGGTTGAACACGAGACAAGTTGTGCGTCTTCCATCAAAGTTTATTTGAAGAAGATTGTATAAGGGGAAAATAAAAGTTCTTGAGAAGTCACAAAAGAACCAGTTGAAAATGAAAACAGCAGGGAACAGGGTAGACTGGAGGCGTGCGGCTGAAGCCCTATGTTCCACTCGGAACTCGAGGGAATAATTATATAAGATTAGTAATAAATCTGTCTTAGTAGGCTTCTCATCAAAAATGACAGAACAGATGTCGATAAGCGATCACTATGACAACTAATACATGTTGCTAATGAACTGAAAATGGGATCTATTTAAGTTCAAAGCCACATACATCAAGAGCGAAACTATGTACTGAATACAAATACATAATTCATGCATAGCAAGAAAATTTATTCCGCAGAACCTGAACTATCAGTGAAAAGAGATACGACAAATTTCTTCATATATATGGATTCTTATATCAGGAAATAGTAAGAATTTAAAAGAGAATTCGCAGAAGTTTGGTACTGGGATTAGTCTGCACCTAATAATCAATCAATAAGTTGAAAACAATAACATGGGATATCCACTGTCCATATCTTTGTTTAATTTTATCATAGATGTACTAATGGAATTAACCCTGACTGCCTTCAGAGACTCAGGGATAGACTTGTTACCAGAGAATAATCTCGTTGATGTTAGATGGTTGGAAGCAATCGGCAGGAAGCCCAGTCTGACCTAGGTTTCGAGCTAGTTAGCACTGATCAGTCAGTAAGGTGTATCTGAAACCTTTAAAGAACTCATGTCCCTTCTGAGATTCGAACCCGCGTAACCCAGTGCCATTTGCAGTCAGAGACGTTACCACTGAGCTATTCGGACCCTCGATTGACCTCCTATAGGACTGTGCTGGATACTTTTGATTAGACAGTAGTCAGTAACTAGTGTGATGTGCCTAGTCCTTTCTTTGGTGCAGAGTTAATTCTATCAGTCAGGTTTGCAATGTTGCCACCATTCTAAGTAGCTCACCAACATCAACAATTCAAAGTGAACTGTGATGGTGGCATGGTGGTCGCATTGCAAACTTAACAGAATTCAGTCTGCACCAAACAAAGGACTAGTGTCTAATGAAAATAACCTCGTTGACTTGGAGTATGAGGATGATATTAGTTCTCCCTCCTAGGTGAAGACGCTGATTAAAATGCAGAGCAGAAATCTGCGAATATCTGACATGCTATTTGCTCCCATCAGGTGTAAGATGATGCCACGAGACTGGACTGGACTACATCCACTCACTTCTAGCTTAGAGACAGACATGAGTGAATTGGTAGAACATGTTGACTTCTCCACTTACTTGGGAAGTCGCATTAGCCCCAGTGGACTGATTGCTGCTAACGAAATCTCAGCACGGATAGAAAAGGCTTGTGTGGGATTCGCCAATGTGCATCATCTCTGGAGTAGACGTGATATCCGGTTGATTATCGACCAAATGATGTGTGTGCTACTCACTAGTTCGTTCCATCATCCTTTATGGTTGTGCGACATGGTGGTCAGTGAAAGTGGAAGATATGAAAAGTCTAGCTAGTTGTCTTTCATCATTGGTGTCTGCGTTCTATCTCCCGTGTTAGATGGTATATAATAGGGTGAGTAAGATTGAGTTAGTCAGGCGTCAAGTGTTCGGTTAGGAGGGAAAATCAATCGATGAGGTTGTGCAGCTACATCGATTGAGATGACTAGGGCATATGTCAAGCATGACTAGCTAACACCTTCCTCGATGACGAGTAATGTTAGGCTGACAAACGAACAGGATGGAAAAGAGCTAATGATAGTGATGGTCAAACTGAAAAATGGCACCAGTCAACAAAGTCTTGACGCTATGCATAGAACTTTTCTGATAAGTAGAACAGTTCAACTTGCGACACTCCATGTAGCGTACACAAAGGAAGGAATATTTGAGAAAAGCAAAATTCAAAACGATACTAATAAACACAAATGTAAGAGAGGAAGAACAGCAATATAGATAAACAATAGGGTTTTAATCGATATGGTAGATCACACAGAGAGTGAATACACCTGCGCCAGCCATTGAGAACGATTATGAGTCATACAAACCAACTGTCTCCAGCCAGTGCTTCTTAGAATCATGAGAACGCAAAACAGTTTGGCAGTTCACGCACCTCCCTACCTGACTGGCTTATTTATTTATTTATTTAAACGCAGAAAAAACTTGGTACGATATGGCACCAAGAAAGATGCGCCACACAATAATAATATAACAACATAGATTAAAAGTAAAAATATAAGTAGAAAACGGATAAAGAACTTCATCTGGAAGGAAAA